AGTTTATGTTTATTATGTTCGTCCTTCCTCTGATCGCTCGGGCGAGTGCATTCTTGCTCGACGAGGACCATCGAGGAGGTGTCCTCGGTCATCGAGCCAAAAAGGCACGCGCGAAACCGAGAAGTGCACACAGGGACTGGACGGCCGAGCGATGGAGAGGGGAGGTGGTCTCCCTGCTCCGGGCTCCGGCCCCTCCCTCCGTGTCCTCGTCGGTGCGCTGCAGTTGTGGTCTCCGCATCGTGCTCCTCGGGTTAAGTCGGGCGCGTCCCCCTACAAGGGGATTTTCGACGAAAAATAAAAAATACACCAAAAATGCCCCAAAAAGGCTCCAGACTATTTTTGGACTATTCTTTGATTATTTTTGAGATATTTTTTTATTGTTCGTCGAAAATCCCCCTGTAGGGGGACACGCCCGACTTAATCCTCGGGCCCTCTTTGGCCCTGCGGCGCACGTGCGAATGCCGCGCGTCTCCGGCAGAGGTTCCTCTGTATGGGGGCCGCTGCGCGGACGCCCGAGTCCTGCAGTGCTGAGTCGCTTCCTCCCTCCTGCAGACGGTGCGCGTCAACCACACCCTCCCCGCCGCCAGTTCGCAAGCCCACCGCCCGGGGCCGCCGAGCCCACGGCCAGGGCCATGATGCTCCAACCTACTTTCGCCTTGACCGCCAGGAAGAATTCCGAGCGCCCAAACAATACCGAAACTCGAGGGTTTTCACATGTCACATGTCGGGGCCTGGGAGAGACACTCGCCCGACACTGTTTCGACACTCTTTTGACAATTTTCTGGGTGCTCGAGATTATTTCTGGGACGCGGTCCTTAAGTCGGATGGGAACAGCATCAGACCAGGGCCCTCGCCCACCCCACCAGGGCTCCTGTCAGAGCGTGAATTACCTACCCCGCTTTCGCTTCCAGGCAAAACCAAGTCATACCACGCGCCTCCTCGTCAAGCGGCCTGACCAGTACAGGCCGTAGTTTGGCATCGTTTGGTATCTCTTGGAAGCGAGGGTGGTCAAAAGCGAGGTAGGTTTGTTTTCCCCCTATCCTGGGCATGGCACGCAGCTGCTTCGGGCGGAGCTCCGCTGCTCTCTACGCGCCCCGGGCGCCCTGCCCCGCACGTGGGGTCTGCCCGCCTGCCCCGGCGCCGACCCGTGGCCAGAGGCTGGCCCCCCCCATTTGCCGATGCATGGGGGCGGGCGTGTCCCCCTACAGGGGGATTTTCGACGAACAATAAAAGATACTCCAAAAATACCCCAAAAAGGGTCAAACAATAGTCAAACCATAGTCCCCAGACTATTGTTGGATTTTTTTTATAATTATTTTTCGGGTATTTGTTATCTTTCGTCGAAAATCCCTCTGTAGGGGGACACGCCCGACTTAAGCCCAGGTGGCGCGCGCCTCGGGCTCGGCAGCGGGGCGTCGGCAGCCGCCCCGTGGCACGCGCCAGCCAGGCGTCGGCCGGCCAGCGTTTGGCAGCGAGATCCGAGCCCCGGCTCGGCGATCAGCGATGCAGGCAGCTCGATGGGCGGCGGCGGCAGGGTTCGGCGTTCGTCGAACACTTTGCGAGATAGGAGCACCACCCCCGCCGCGCATCGATTCAGGAGAATCGATGGTCGGCGGGAGTGGGGTGCGGCTGCCGCCGCCCTGGCGCTTCTTCCGCGCAGCGACTTGCTGGAACTCGCAGCGTGTTCCGCGAGCGCCTCCCTGGCCGTTCCCAGTGCGTGGGCGGCAAGCCTTCGCGCAGGGTCAGGGCAGCGCTTCCAGGGCCCGCCCGCACTTCCTCGGCAGCTCCTGGGCGGCGCTTACCAGGGCTCGCGCGCAGCACACGGGCCAGCACCTCAGGCACGTAGCCTCAAGTCGGGCGTGTCCCTCTCAGGCGGAAAATTCAAAAACTGTTGAGAAATAGTCAGGGGATGATTGTTTTGACTATTTGGGATCTCTGTCCTCCAAAATAATCCGCCTGTGGGAGGACATGCCCGGCCCAAACGCAGCCGCGGCCCGGTGGCCTCCATCTCTCGCAGCCCGGCGCCGGCGGCGTGGTGCTGCCCCAAGAGCTGCCTGTGTCGGCGGTTCTCCGGGCTCCCTCTGCCGCCCGCCCCCGCGCTGACTCCAGCGCGCGCGCAGGGCTGGGGACTTCGGCAGCGAGTCCTGGGAGCCTTGCGTACCCTCGTCAATGTTTAGCTCCAGCGTCGATGAGCGTCCATTAGCGCCTGGGAGTCGATGAGATAGCGCCAGTTGAGCGCCAGCTAGCGTCGACGAGCGCCGATGTGGCGTCGATTAACCTCGATTTGGCGTCGATCAGCGTCGATTCGCAGGAGCCGACAATATGATATGGGATGCTCCCATAGGTCGCCACCGAAGGGCTGTAGGGCCCTGGGGCCACCCTTGCGCTGCTCCTGCGCGGCTGGTCCTTCAGGCTGTCGGAATCCTTGGCGCCTGCGCCGGTTAGGAAGTACAACTCCTGGGAGGTTACCTTCAGCATCGGCGCTGGCGCATCCGCGGTCGAGGCCTCGCCGAATCCGGCATAATCCTGCATCATTTGCCTTGGCCCAGCTTGATCCAGCTTACTCCAGGGCTTAATCCGGCGTAGTCCCGCTCAATGGCCCCCTGTTGGGGCTTAGCAGGCCTTACGAAGGCCTCCCAGGAGTTGCAACTTTGCTTCTGCGTCGGGAAGTCTCGCGTGGAGCTTCCCAGACCAGCGCGCAATGCCGTGCGGCACCAGCGCGAGCTTCTCGACAGCGGTCGGCAGAGCCTTGCCCATGGGAGCCGCTAACACATTCGGCCTGATCACTTGGAAGGACAAGCGCATTTCTGCGACTCTTCCTTCACGTGGCAGTTGCTCTGAGGTGGTCTGCGCTGCGTGAGAACCGGTACGCTGCGTGAGCTCCTGGGCCTCCGCAGGCATGCCGCGGCAGCCTGCGAGCGCGCTTCAAGCTGGTGGTCCCCTGGTCGACTCGACGCCAGGGTGCGTGGCGCGGGAGTGGCGAGGGGGAGGGGAAGGAACGACGAGTCAGGAGGAAAAGAGGAGGAAAAGAGGAGGAAAAGAGGAGGAGGAGGAGGAGGAGGAGGAGGAGGAGGAGGAGGAGGAGGAGGGGGAGGGGAAGCGGAGGGGGGAGGAGAGATGAGGAGGAGGAGGAGGAGGGGGTGCGGCGCGGGGAGTGGCGAGGAGGGGGGAAGGAGACGACGAGTCAGGGCAACGTCAGGGCGGGCGGCGCTCAGGCAAGGCGGGGAGCGGGGGCATGCCAAGGCACGGGCGGAGTCGGGAGTCGGTATGGGAGTGCGGGGACGGGGGGAGGTATGGGGGGAGGGGGGAGGGGGAGGGGGAGGGGGAGGGGGAGGGAGGAGGGAGAGGAGGGGGGGTGAAGGGGACGGGAACGGAAAGAGCAGGAAGACAGAGCAGGAGAATGGAGGAAGAGAACAGGAGGAGAGGGCGCCAGGTGGAGAAGAGGGGTAGGGAAGGATAGTGAGGAAGCGACGATGAAGAGGACGAGGAAAACAAAGAAAATACTGCCCATTCTTTCTTTTGCCTACTTCCCCCAGGGCTCGCTCCGACCAGGAACCCCGAAATTATGTTAGGACCCGCCCGCCAACTCAGGGGAACCCCGAAGATGTTGAGGAGTCCTTCTCCCAAACACATCCCGACCCCGTCCTCTTCTTCCTCTTCCTCTTCCTCCTCCTTCTCCTCCTCCTCCTCCTCCTCCTCCTCCTCCTCCTACCCCCCTCCAACCAGGGTCAGAACGAGGGGAGCCATCTATTATTCTCCGTCTCCATCTTCGTCATCCCTTATTAGATTATCATCTTTCCTCCTCATCCTTGCAGGCCTTGTAGCGGATTCCAGACCTTGCAGGCCCAAAGTTGCAAACAAACAGCAATTCGACACGCGATCACGGGCCCTCTTTCCTCCTCCTCCTCCTCCTGCTTCATCCTCTCCTCCCTCTGCCCCTCCTCTTCCTCCTCCTTCTCCTGCTTCAGCCTCTCCTCCCTCTGCCCCTCCAGCTGCTCCTGGCCCTCCTCGTGTTGCTGCTTATCTCCCTCGTCCGACGGACGGCAACGTCGACAACGACGATCGACGATGACGATTGCGACGACGGCGACGATGGCTATGCCGATGACCATCACGATCACGGTCACGATGATGACGATGATGATGATGATGTTGCTGCTGATGATGATGATGATGATGATGACGCTGACGCTTATGTTGTTGTTGATGATGTTGTTGGTGATGCTGCCGATGATAACGATGAATATGGAGATGAAGGTGATGATGATGATGCTGATGATGATACTGAGGATGAGGATGGCGATGGTGATGATGATTATGCTGCTGATAATGATGACAATGCTGAGGATGATAATAATCATGCTGACGATTACGGTGATGATGAGGATGGCTGTGATGATGTTGTTGCTGTTGCTGGTGATGCTGCTGATGATGATGGTGATTATGATAATGCTGCTGATGGTGTTCATGATTAGGTTTCCGATAATGATGATGATGATGATGATGACGTCGATGATGATGGCGACGATGAGTGTGAGGTTGATGATTGTGATAAGCATGATGCTGATGGTGATGGTGATGCTGATGATGACGCTGATGATGATGGTGGTGCTGTAGTTGATGACGACGATGATGATGAGGATGATGAGCATGATGATGAGGATGATGAAGATGCTGATGTTGATGATGAGTATGATGAAGATGATGATTATGATGATGATGATGATGATGATGATGATGATGATGATGATGATATCGATGCTGATGGTGATGGTGATGATGATGGTGATGACGATGACGATTGCATTCACGACGTCGACGAGGCTAGCTGTGAAGACGGTTCTCGCGACGGCGACGACGACGACGATGACAACGACGGCGAAGGCCGCGACGTCGACGACGACGACGACGCCGCCGCCGACGACGACGACGACGACCGCGACGACGACGACGACGACAGCCGCGACGACGACGACGACAGCTATGACCGTGTCCGCGCGCGCGCCGCTATTCTCAGGCGAGGCAGCGGGATGCGCTTCTCGGCGGCACCAAGATCAACTTCGCGTCCTTGCGGCGCCGCCTCGAGAGCCTCGGGGCGCGCTCCCAGGGGGAGGAGGGGCACGAAAATGAAACATCTGCATGAACATACAGTCGTCGTGCTGCCATACGGAGCACTACATAAGGAACTTGGCATCGCTCGGACGTGTGCATTTTTCCTTCGGCGAGGACCATCGAGGAGCATCCTTGATGATTTGGCGAAAAAACCACGCACGAAACCAACAAAAAAACAGGAAATGGACGTTCGAGCGATTGCCAGGGAACGCATGGGCTTTCCTGCCCCCTGGAGTCCCTGGAGCGCGTGGGCGCACGAGGGGCGCTCGAGGAGCAACCGCGGAAGGACCCCCAAGGGAACAGCGAGCCTCTGTCGAACCGGAGCTGATCCCCTGGCATCGCTCGGACGTGTGTATTTTTTTTCTCGGCGAGGACCCTTGCGGAACATCCTGGATCATCGAGCGAAAAAAAAAAAACGCGCACGAAACCGAACAATGCACGGGAACTGGACGTCCGAGCGACGGCAAGATCCTTCTTTCAGCGACTTGACCGCCAACCTTCAGAGCTCCGCGCAGATTTCTCGGATCGGCGCCGGACCCCTCGTGGAGAGGCCTCTGGCGCTGCCCCCGGCGCGCTCCTCGTGCCAGGGAGGAGGGCCCCGCCCCGATCCAAGAAAGCCGTGCGGAGTTCCGAGGGGTTCTGTTTGTGCAGATGTCTCTTCCCCGAGAGGGGGAACGACGCTGGTCTATTCTAAGCGCTTCGCGTGTTCCTCCGACAGTGCAGGTCCCTGGGCGTCAGGCACCCTGGGTTGCAGCACCCTTGCACCCGCCGCCCCGGCGCCGGCAGCGGCCCGCGCGCGCGTCCGGCCAATTAGTTTCGGCCGCAGCCCGACCGTTACTCGCCGCCGCTGGCGCTTCCGCCCGCGGCCGTAAAAAAAAAGTGTTCCTCCGACCGGCCAATCTGGCGGCCAGTGAGTCGCTCACTTTTGATGGCGCGCGTTCGCCGTGCATGGCATGGCCTGGTCGCGTGATGTCCGGTCTGCTCCTGCGTGGCAGGGTCAGGCCTGGTCAGCTTCTGTGGTATGGCTTGGTGTTGTAAGAAAAAACACTCCAAGCTGCAGTGTGTGTGTGTGTGTTTATACATGATATGTACATGACCCGGGGTTGCCCCCCTTCCCCTCCCCCCCAATGCATATGGAACCGAGCCCCGCTCTCTCGCTGGATGGTCACGCGAAGGGGATCGCTCCCCCACCCCTGTGTTCGTGGTCCTGTCGGCGTGGCGTGGTGGAGGGTGCTGGTGCAACCCCTCCTCCCACTATGGGTGTGGGGTTGCTCATCGTCGTCGTCGACGTGGTCGTCGTCCTCGGCGGCGTCGGCGTCGGCGTCGGCGTCGGCGGCGTCGTCGTCGTCGTCCATCGGCGTCGCCGTCGCCGTCGGCGTCGGCGTCTGCGTCGGCGTCGGCTTCGGCGTCGGCGTCGGCATCGGCATCGACATCGCCGTCGCGAGTGTCGGCGTCGGCGACGGCGGCGGCGTCGACGTCGGCGTCGGCGTGAGCGTCGGCGTCTGCGTCGTCGTCGGCGTCGGCGTCGTCGCTGGCGTCGGCGTCGGCGTCGGCGGCGGCGGCGTCGGCGTCGGCGTCGGGGTTGGCGTCGTTGTCGGCGTCGTCGTCGTTGTCGGCGTCGTCGTCGTCCGTCGGCGTCGGCGTCTGCGTCGTCGTCGGCGGCGTCGGTGTTGGCGTCGGTGTTGGCGTCGGCGCCGACGTTGGTGTCGGCGTCGGCATCGGCGTCGGTGTCGACGTCGGCATGCGTCGGCGTCTGCGTCGTCGTCTGCGTCGGCGTCGTCGTCGTCTTCGTCGTCGTCGCGAGTGTCGGCGTCGGTGGCGGCGTCGGCGTCGGCGTCGTTGTCGGCGTCGTCGTCGTCGTCGGCGTCGTCATCGCTGTCCGTCGGCGTCGGCTCCGGCGGCGTCGGAGTTGGCGTTGGCGTCGGCGTCGGCGGCGTCGGCGTCGGCGTCGGCATCTGTATCGGTGTTGACGTCGGCATCGGCGTCATGTTGGCGTCGGCGTCGTCGTGGTCGCCTGCGTCGTCGTCTTCGTCGTCTTCGTCGTCGCCGCCGGCGTCGGCGTCGGTGGCGGCGTCGGCGTCGGCGTCGTTGTCGGCGTCGTTGTCGCCGTCGGCGTCGTTGTCGGCGTCGGCGTCGTTATCGTCGTCATCGTCCGTTGGCGTCGGCGTCGGCGGCGTCGGAGTTGGCGTCGGCGTCGGCGTCGGCGTCGGCGTCGGCGTCGGCGTCGGCGTCGGCATCTGCGTCGGTGTCGACGTCGGCGTCGGCGTCGGCGTCGGCGTCGGCGTCCGCGTCTTCGTTTGCGTCGGCGTCGTCGTCGTCGTCTTCGTCGTCGTCGCCAGCGTCGGCGTCGGCGCCGGCGCCGGCATCGGCGTCGTCGTCGTCTCCCCCCCATCCCGTCTCGGGGGTGACCCTTTGGAAACGTGCCGCCCCTTATCCCATGTTGAAGTGGGACTTGAACCCTCGACCCGAGATCGTAGTCAGGTGTTTGATGTGTATGTGTGTGTGTGTGTTGTGATATCGTCTGCTCTGGCCAAGGTTGGGATGAGGCGCAACCTGGGACGGACATGGAGGAGTGTGTGACAACGAGCCAAGCCGTCGAGGGCTTCCTAGGAGTATCGGGGGGGCCTCGCGTCCTCGGCCGCCACATTGGAAGCCTCGTGCACCATTGGGGGAAGCGTCCTGTGGACTGTGAGCAGTCTAAGGTAGCAGAAACCGCCGCTGCACGTATACAGTTGGGAGGGGTCGTTCGGGAAAAAGTCGTTTGCGAAACTAACCTCGGGCATCGGTTTCCCTTGAGCTCGCGACGAACTACCTCAAAACAGACCCCCTCCTTTCAATTCGAAGCTGGCCGTTCGATTTCGACTTGAAAACACATCAGGGCCGCGCCGAGCTGACCAGAGGAGTCAGAACAGGTCATACTCAGGCGGAACGCCCAGGGGCAGCCGAGTCGAAGGCAGGGAGGGAGGAATTAGAGGAAAGGGAAAATCTGGAGGAGGAGGAGAGGAGGAGTCTCGAAATTCGAACGACGAGCGACGACGACGAGCGACGACGGCGACGACGAGCGAGTCGGCGGCAACGAGCAAGGCAAGACAACGTCGCGACGACGAGAGGAGGAAGAGTCGGAGGAGGCTCGGCGCTCGGCGGAGGAGGAGGCTCGACGACTCGGACCCGCGGCTGGCCGGCTTTCGGCTGCCATTGGGCCCGAGGGCCCTGTGGCCCGGGCCCGGCGGGCCCAGCGGCCCAGCGGCCGCCGCGTGGCCCATGACATGAGGGCGGCCATGACCCAGGCATTGGCCTGGGTCATCTGCCGCGGAGGCGGCAGACACGACAGACGCGCGGTGGTGGCGTTCCCAGTGCAGGGCGCGCCGCCAGGCGCTGGGAGTCAATGTCCCGCCAAAGTCGAGCATGGACGGCTGAAAGTCCGCGGGCGCCCAGGCGCAAGAGCGCGCGTGAAAGTCTGCGGCGTCGACGGCCTCCTGCCCGGAAGTCGCTCGACGCCGCGGACTGTTCGGGGCGCCCCGGCGCCCGCGGACTTTCAGACTGTCCACGACGGCGCGACGGCGGCGGCGCGGGGAAACCCCCCAGCAAGGCGACGACTACGACCGCGTCGTCGGCGTCGTGGCGGTGGGCGCCCCGGTGGTCCTCGGCCGGGGCGTGTTTGAGACAGCCGCCCCCTGCGCCGCCGCCGCCGCCGCTTCCGCGGTCCGAAGACTTCTTCCTCGTCGTCGTCGTCCTCCTCCGAGGACCTCCCCCCCCTCCTGAGCCTGAGCCTCCTCCTCCTCCCCCCCCCTCCTCCTCAGAGCCTCCGTCCTCCGTCCGCGTCCGTCCGACCCCTGCCCCTCCTGATTCGTCCTCCTCCGCCGCCCGGCCGCATGGCCGCCTGCCTGGCCTCCTCCGAGCCTCCTCCAGAGCACCCGGCCTCCGGCTCCTCGACAAGCCTCCTTCCTCATCATCGGGGCCCGTCGCGCCGAGGGCCTCGGCCTCGGAACGGAAGGAGAGAGAATGAGAGAATGAGAGGAGGAGAGAAAGAGGGAGTCCGAGAGAGAGAGAGAGAGAGAGAGAGAGAGAGAAAGAGAAATAAAGAGCAGAGAGAGAGAGAGAGAGAGAGAGAGAGAGAAAGAGAGAGAGAGAGAGAGGGAACGCCTCGGGAGAAGGCCGACAGCCGACTCGCAGGCGGCCCGCGCGGCGGCTGCGCCGCGCCAGGAAGGGGCCGGGGCGAGGAGTGAGTAGGAGGACGAATCTGAGGAGGGGGCGGAGGGGTGCGGGCCGGGGGCAAGAAAGAGGGGGGAGAAGGCGAAGGAGGAGGAACATGACGGGCAGGAGGCAGGAGGAGGAAGAACCTCGAGGCTCGGAGCCTCGAGGAGGAGGAGGAGGAGGAGGAGGAGGAGGAGAGAGGAGGAGGAGGGAAGGAGGGGGAGGATGAGGAGGAGAGGAGGAGGAGGAGGAGGGAGGCTCGGAGGAGGAGGAGGAGGAAGAGGATTCGGAGGAGGAGAGGAGGAGGAGGAGGAGGAGGAGAAGAGGAAGCGCGCAGGAAGAGGAGGCTGGGGAGGAGGAGGCGGAGGAGGAGGAGGGGGGGTCGGAGGAGGAGGAGGAGGAGGAGGAGGAGGAGGAGGAGGAGGAGGCTCCGAGCGGCTCGAGGCTCGAAGGGGGGGGGGGAGGAGAGAGGAGAGAGGAGAGAGGAGAGGTCAGGGGACCAGGCGGGAGGAGGAAGAGGAATGAGGAGGAGGGGGGAGGCTCGGAGGAGGCCTCGGAGGAGGAGGAGGTGGAAAAAATGGATCAGGCATCGAGGATTGGAGGAGGAGGCATGAGTCCAGGAGGCAGGGGGAGCAGGCGCAGGAGGTCACGGAGGCGGAGGCAGGAGGCGGCCCTCAGCAGGCATGTTTCAATTCGGAATCTCCTGAACTTCAGCTTCAGCTGCATCCTTCCTTTTCTCCTCCTCTCCTCTTCGCGCTTCGCACTACTGCTCCGCTCCTCCCTGGCCGC